TCCCCAAGCCGACGCTCTATCCATTGAGCCAAACCGGTCCCGGCTTGATTTCCTTCTTGTATGGAGTTGGCAATATCCTTGGAACTGGACACAGTGGTGCTTTCTATTACCGACATTACCATTCTCCTGGGAGCTCAGCTCAGACTTCTGAGTGACTCTTATATGCACCTCCCCTCTCTCTCACATCCTGTCAGTTGACAAATTCAGCTGATTGAATTGCCTCAATATCTTTATAATTCATCTTTTATTTTCACTATCGCTGACAAGATGAGGCTCTTATGACTTAAACTGGACTGTTACAAAACTTTTCAAATAATTTCTCTATCCACAGGATTTCTCTGTTCTCTTTCATCCTACAGAGACAAAGCCTGGTTTTGTTCATCTGTGTAATCTAAGCACTTAGCCCAGAAGAGGAAAGATGAAAAATAGGGAATAATGTGTGTTAAATGAGGTCTGGTTTTATTGCTTCTCTCTCCAAAAGCCTGTGATGCTTTCCTGCTGCCCACAAGAATTCTCCTCAGCCTAACATCAGTGGGCATCAGTCATCCTTTCCACTTTATCTGTCACACATGCCAATGATGTTTTACTGGTGACTATTCACCATTTGGCTGATTGTCTCATCCTTGCTTATTTCAAATCTTCACTTTGTCAAAATTCACATTTTCACACCCTGCTCTGTTGTCAACTCTAGAGGGCTACTTAGATTCTTTTCCCATAAAAATAATTGGTTTTTGTATCTCTTCTGTGAACTTATAGTACAGTCTGTCCTTATAGTTTCTGAGTGGACAAAGTTCCACTTTAAGTGCCAATTTTGATGATTTGGTAATGGCAGCCTAGAGCATTATATTGAGGAGAATTCTAAGGTTATACTTTGGTTCCTCACAAAAGTAGATGTTAACACAGATTAGATACCATACTTCAGCACAGAAGAAGAGAGTTAACAAACTACCCATGGAGTAGTCAACTTTGTTACAGATCCCCATGTATGTGTCTAATCAGCTAGATCATTTGTCCTTAAAGACATATTTCTGTCCTTATAGCCTCTATCACAATTTCTGTTGAGTTGATCCTTAAAAACTCCATTCCCTGCTGAAACCGGTTTGGCTCAGTGGATAGAGGGTCAGCCTGCGGACTGAAGGGTCCCAGGTTTGATTCTGGTTAAGGGCATGTACTTTGGTTGTGGGCACATCCCCAGTGGGGGGGGATGGGGAGGGGAGTGTAGAAGACGGCTGATCCATGTTTCTCTCTCATCAATGTTTTTAACTCTATCCCTCCTCCTTCCCCTCTGTAAAAAATCAATGAAAAATATTTTTTTAAAAACCCACAAAACAAACAAACATACAAACAAAAAAATCTCCATTCCCTGATTTTAAAATTTTACAATCTAACATGGCCAATATAAATTTGTGATAGGAAGTGATAATGGACACACACAAAAAAAAGCATGTAAAGTGCTGATGAAATGGCCCTTGAAATTAGGTAGGAAGTCATGGAAAACAAAAGGGCAAGGCAGCATATATCCAAAGGAAATGAAATCAGTACTCTGAAGCGATATCTGCATTGCTATTCACTACAGCATTATTCACAATAGCCACGGTAGGGGAACAACCTCCTAGTAAATGCGTTATACACATACGTACACACACTACACACACAAATGGAATATTTTAAAAAATATATTTTTATTTATTTCAGTGAGGAAGGGAAAGGGTGAGGAAGAGGGAGAAAGAGAGGGAAACATCAGTGATGAGAGAGAATCATTGATCAGCTGCCTCCTGCAAGCCCCACACTGGGGATCGAGCCTGCAATCTGAGCATGTGCCCTGACTGGGAATCTAACCATGACCTCCTGATTTATCGGTCAACACTCAACTACTGAGCCATGCCAGCCAGGCCACAAATGGAATATTATTCAGGCTTTAAAAAGCCAATTTATGTAAATTCAGTGAAGTTATCGCTTTGCACCGTGTTAAATTCTAAATTTTTCAGAAGTGAAAAATCTAGTATAGTTAGAATTACCTTTGAAATTCATTAACTTGGCCATAAAGTGAGAAGGTAGATAAGGGTAAAAAAAAGGTCAAATATATGGTGATGGAGGGTGACTTGATTTGGGTGGTGAACACACAATACAATATACAGATGTTATAGAATTGTACACTTGAAACCTATATAATTTTATTAACACATGCCACCCAATAAATATAATGAAATTAGATGTATATATTTTTAAAATATAAAACCAGGTACTTGGTGAATTTTTCACTGTAGACTTTAAGTAGCACTGAATAGAGCAATAAAAGCTACGAAGAAAATACAGATATCTGAGCATTCAATTTTTTCTACCTTTAAGATACCTATCAGAACATTAGAAGAGGATGAAGGATGAGTAAAAAACTTCCTCTTTCCTATAGATTTTATTCTGGTTTTAGAAAGAAGTAAATCTATCTACATTTAATATTTATTAATGGATTTGTTTATTTTGAAATAATGTATATAAAAGAACCTAATGAAAGCCTTAGAAGATACTTAAAGTTTAACAAATGTTTGTTGGATTTTAATTTTGCTTATTAAATTCACCCACATACAAACTGTTCTTTGAAAAGTGGTTCGGAAGCCCTTGGTTGGCATCTTCTGTGTGGCCCAGTGAACAGCTCTTACTCTCTTGCTGTCTACACTAGTTTCAAGACACCTTACCATAGTGCAGAAAATGTATATAATGGAAGATAACAGTTTTGTTTTCCCCACCAACCTTGAAAATTAGTAACATCCTATGCTGGCTAGGATGTGGGAAATAGGCACTCTTATAACTTTCAATAGGAGTATGAAATATTTAAATCTTTTGGGGAAGATTTATGTTCTAAAAAAATAAATAAATAAAATAAAAGCCCAAGTCTTTGCAGTGGCATATATTGAAATCAACTCAAATTCATCAGTAGGGAGATAATTAAAGAAATTATGGTATTTCTACACTGTGAAAAAATGATGTATGTAAAAGAAAATATATAAATCTATATGTGGACCAGAAAACTGCCATGATATTTTAAAATTAAATTATAAAATAATAGACAAATATGCTCTTTGTTAGCAACAAACAAAAACTGAAAATTCAACCACAAAAATAAACCCATATATATATATGTATTTATTTATATAAGAAGACAAAAGTGTGAAAGGATATATCCTAAATTATTATCCTAGGAAACCCCAAGGAGGCAGGGCAATAGATGTTTGCCAGAAGAGCAAGGCAATCATTTAACCTTTTGTTCCTCTGTTGTTTGAAGATCTGATCCAAATTAGTGGTAACAGGAAATAAAAGACATAGGCAACTGCAGGATGTAATATGGAAATGGAGTGGATGGAATTTGGCAACTATTTGAATGTGATGGAAAGGGAAATGAAGAAATCAAGCTCATCAATTTCTAGCCTGAGTAACTGAGGAAAAATGCTGTCATTCATAGAAACAGAGATATCATGAGAAGGAGTAAATTCTTTTTATTGTTACCAGAGGAGAAATGATGAATTTGGGTTATCAGAGTTGCACTATTTCTAATTTTAAATGATAATTGCTCCTAATAGGAAAGCTTCTTTATCTTGGTCTTGAAACCTTAAACAAAATGATGCTTTATAGTTGTATTTCATGTAAATTTTGGAACGGAAAGAACCAGACTGGTGTCTAATAGTTTACCTTATTCATGAATACTATTCCAAAATAAAAGAACATTTATTTTTTTATTGGAAAAAAATTATAATTTAAAATCATCTCAACAGTGTAAAAGTACCTTTTTCTGCTGTATTAGATTGACAGAAAGTATAAACTGTGATCTGTACAATTTTTACTATATGTTTCTTTTGTGTTATTTTAATACTAGAGGCCTGGTGCACGAGTTCATGCACTAATGGGGTCCCTTAGGCTGGCCTGCAGAATCAGGTCTAAACCGGCCCTCCGACATCCCCTGAGGGTCCCAGATTGCGAGAGGGTACAGGCCAGGCCGAGGGACCCCACTGGTGCACGATTAGGGCAGGGGATGGATGCAGGATGTTGGCCAGCTGGGGAAGGACCACGGGAGGGCTCTAGGACATGTCCAGCCTGTCTCACTGAATCCCAATTGGCCAGAACCCAGCAGCAAGCTAACCTACCAGTCAGAGTATCTTCCCCCTGGTGGTCAGTGCACGTCATAGTGAGCAGTTGAGAGGCTTTTGCATATTATTAGCATATTACTCTTTGATTGGTTAAATCGCTGACCAGATGACTAGACACTTAGCATATTAGGCTTTTCTTCTTATAGGTAGTTATGCCTCTTCAAGTGTGTTTGTAAATCAATGACTATTAAATAAACAGAGTATGCTGTTGATATTCTATAAAAGTAGCCTTGCAAAGACTTTTAGTTCTAGAAATAGCTTGTGCAATTTTATTCCATAGAAAACAGCACTAGATATTTTCTCTAGATTTATATTATTTACTTGCAAATACTATCAAAATGCTATGTGAATTTATTTATGTGTAATTATATCATATTTTATTTTGGCCAAAATAAAAATATGAAATTCACCAGGCCGAGCCCTTTTGCATAGATAAAGGAGTCAACAAATTCACCTGAATGAATCATTTTAATTTTCAGCTAAATTATGTGGAAATTAACTGCTCTTGCATACCTTTATTCTCTATTCACCATTGATTGTATTTTTACTTCAGAAACTATTTCTACATTAGTCTTTCTTAGTTGAATTATGTGGGGCTTTCCCTGGGAAATGTGTTTCATATTGCATTTGTTATTTTTAATTTGAATTAATACAGGGATTCCTATACCTGCCATGATTTTATTTAGTCTGAAGAATTTCATGAATTTTAAAACCTTCAGAGAACTGGGTGATTATGATGCTGTGTGAATTCAAAAATTTTACTAATTCTTATAGTTTGCGTTAAACTAGAAAAGGCCTCCATTTGGAGGAAATAGAAGGAAGATAATTAGTTTAATATTTTATATATTTTTTGCTTTCCAGAAAATAAATACTTCTGGAGCCAGTAATGCAGATGTCCCTCTGGCTGATCCCGGAATGTACCAGTTGGATATTACATTAAGAAAGGGTCAAAGTTTAGCCGCCCGGGATCGAGGAGGTAAGGTCATAAGGAGAACGTTACTTGGAAGTTTATTCTGTGTGTTTTTGACAAAACTTTTTTAATGGTTGCTTCAGTTCAAATAAATTAACTATAATATTATAATTTTTAGAAGGTTGGGTCCAGTGATGTGGTTTGAAATGTTATCTGGTCACGGTTTAATTCCTGGTCAGGGCACAGGCCCAGGTTGTGGCTCTATCCCCTGTGTGGAACATGCAGGAGGCAGCTGATCAATGATTTCCTCTCATCATTGATGTTTTTGTCTCTCCTTCTCCCTTCCTCTTGAAAAATCCTATCTAATAAAGAGTAATATGCAAACTGACTGTCACTCCAACACACAAGATGGCTGCCCCCTATGGTCAAAGATGGCTGCCCCCACGTGGACACAAGATGGCCACCACGAGATGGCTGGCAGGGGAGGGCAGTTGTGGGCAATCAGTTCAGCGGGGAAGAGCAGTTAGGGGTCACTGGGCTGGCAGAGGAGGGCATTTGGGAGGGACCAGACCTCTAGGGAGGGGAGGCCTGTAGGGGAGGGCTGTTGTGGGGGGGGGGGGGAAACCAGGCCTGCAGGGGAGGCAGTTAGGAGCAATCAGGCTGGCAGTGGAGCAGTTAGTCGTTTATCAGGCCTGCAGGGGAATGGTTAGGGGGTGATCAGGCTGGCAGGCAGAAGCTTTTGTGTGGCAATCAGGCAGGCAGGCAAGTGAGGGGTTGGAAGCCAGCAGTCATGAATTATGAGAGGGATTTCCAAATGCCCATTTAAACGGGCTATCGAATATCCCTAAGGGTTCCCAGATTGGAGAGGGTGCAGGCTGGGTTGAAGTTTGCAGTGTTCAATGGTATCAGTATAAACTAATGGTTTTTAACAGAGATATAGGAAATAATTAAAATAGACAGGTGTGTGTGTGTGTGTGTGTGTGTGTGTGTGTGTGTGTGTGTAGTATATTGTATTTTCCTAGATCTGTCTCCTGAGAGGCCCTCAGAGCAATTATAAAGGTGTAACCAACACACCTTTGGCCCAATCTTGGTTTCTAAATACACTATTCCCAATAAAAATATGCAAGGCTCTTGGAGAAAGAGTTGATTGCAGATGTAGGGCAGCAAAAGTACAAGATGCGTCTGGAACATTTTGCAAAGCCAGAGAGTAGGGAAGTACTCAAATATTGATGGCAGAATGTCAAAATGATATAGAGGCCAAATTAAAGAAGCTCCTAATAACTAGAGCTGGAACAATTTTGGCAACAAAATAAATAATGGCAGCAATAGATTATAAATCATAGAATAATATAAATATCTAAGACTTCTTACTAGTTAATCAATAATTGAATGAATAAATGGATGAGAAGACACAGCTTTTACTTATGTTAGAATTGCAATGAATAACTGTAGAAGGGAAAATAGAAATATCTAGAAAACTACCTTTTAACAAGCAATGCAGTAACAATTGTAGGCAAAAATCATTGATGCTAAATTTGTAGGCACAAAATTATGATGAGATACAGGTATTTGCGTAATTTTGAAGTACTTTTCCACTAAATACATGTGAACTACTAAGAGGAAAATAATAACTTACAGTGGAGAAACTTGGAAGACACTGCTGTTAGCAAGCAGTTAAAGTTAAAATCAGCAGTAATGAGGCAGACAGATACCATGGACCTGCTGATGTGATGTACTGAGAAAGGCACATTATGTCTGTGTGATTCTGTCATAATGCATAAAGACAATGTAAAACATCAGGCAGCTCTGGCAAGATATGATGCCAGTCGTCTGAGCTGAGTAGCAGCTTCTGTTTGCTCAATCTTGTTCCACAGTTTTAAGTTTGGATGCTACCACTCTTTTTCTTAAAGGAGCAAATTATTCTCTAGAGATAATAGGAATTGTGTTAAGGTAGAATGAGAGAGCTATGTTCTTAAGAAAAAATATTATTTTTGTGGACGTGAAGAATATCCCAAAGTGTTTATAATGCAAACTCTGATCCAAGTTCACTATTTTACTTACTTCTCTGGAATTCATGAAGTTTTTGTTGGGTAGATATGAGAAGAGAAATTAAGCACAGGAAACAACCTGAGTTACGTTTGAGATTGATTAAAATTCATTTTAGATCCATTAGTGAAAAACAAATGTGTTAAGCATATGCTTATGTATTTAGTATTGGAACACTTTAGATTTGTGAATATATACTATATCTCCTAAATAATAAAAGGCTAATATGCAAATTGTCCCCTTGGGAGTTCAACTGACAGGGAGTTCGACCGCTTAATATGATGTGTGGGTAACCACTAGGGGGCAGTGTGGAATGAAGGAAGGGCATGGCCAGCAGCTGAGGGAAGGAAGGTCCCAATCAACCCTGATTGAACCCTACCTGTGCACAAATTTCATGCACTGGGCCTCTAGTGTGTGTGTGTGTGTGTGGGTGTGTATATATGATAACTAGATGTAGATGGATAGTTTGAAATGATAAAAGTGATAAAACCAGTCAGAAAGTATTGTAGGAGTATAGTTTTGAGGGTCTGAACCAGTATTATAAATGTGGAGAAGGAGACTATGATAGGTGGTTTAGGAGAGCCAACGGTAGCACCTGAGATTCATTTATGAGGAAGTTAAAAACAACAATTACAATGCTCTGGCCAAGTGGCTCAGTTTGTTGGAGCATTATTCTGTACACCAAAAAGGTTTCAAGTTTGATTCCTGGTCAGAGCACATACCTAGGCTACAAATTTAATCCTAGTCTGAGTATGTATGGGCCGCAACTGATTGATGTTTCTCTCTCACTTAGATGTTTCTCTCTCACTCACTCTCTCTCTAAAATCAATTAAAAAAAAAAAGTATATCCTCTGGTGAAGATTAAGAAACTATTGAGATTTTTAAGGCTGATGGTACCTGGGAGCCAAGTGGATTTTGGAAAAAGTTGAATGTAAGAAGAAATATTGTATTATTATGATAATTAGCAAAAATTATACTTTTTTTTTCAATCATTCTTTATATTGATACCTTCACCTACTGCCCAGTAAAACCAAAATCCCATGACCCCTGTGTCCCATATTACCCCTGCACAGAATAGTGGAAGAAAAAAACTCATTTCCATTCTCATAATCATGGCTTGAACTTTGTGTAGCCAGAATCTTTCTTCAAAAGTAATACATGAAGTTTGGCTTAGCAGTCAAAACTGGCCATTGTTCCTCCATTTTTATAACCTGTTTTGCAGAACAATAACCAGATGGCTTCTGGGAATGGTTCAGCCTTTTAATAGGAGTTTTATTATCTCAGCTTTAAGAAGCCTGGTGGACTAGAAAGCACATGATATGGGGAATCTGACACACATATTAATAGTTTCAAAGCCAAGCTCGGTATTATATTAGCTGTGTGACTTCTAGATCTACAATTTCTCAGCTGAAATTGTAGGGTTCCAGATGTAGTAAATAAAAATACAGGATGCCTAATTACATTTGGATTTCAGATAAATAGTGCATTACCTTTTTAAATGAATTCCATATTTTATCTGGCAGCCCTATGACAATTGTCATGTCTAGTTATTAAAAAAATGCCATATATGTTTTAATTGGATTGGGCCTTTCAGGACCATATTATCATCTATCATATGTTGTATGCAATGTCTTGTCATGATTATTTGTATTGCTAGAAAGATAAGAACCATCTGTGTAGATATGGGTGGTGATAGCAATACCCTATAATTGAACTTAACATTTGTATCATGGAGGATATTTTAATTTCCGAGGGCTGTCTTAACAAATTACTATAAATTTGGTGGCTTAAAACAACAAAAACTTATTATTATTTCACAGTTCTGAGGTTCAGGAGCAAAAAATCAAGACGTGATAGGGAAACACTCCCATTAAAGGCTCTCGGGGGGAACCCTCCCTTGCCTTTTCGTGGCCGGTGGCTCCAGGCATTCCTTGGATGGTGGCAGCATCACTTTGATCTCTGCTTCAATCTTCACATGGCACTTCTCTCTGTGTCTTCGTGTCTCAAATCTTTCTCTTCTGTCTCTCAGAAGGACAATAGTCATTGTATTTAGGCTCACCCTAAAGCCAGGATGATCTCATCTTAAGGAGAATGACCAGTAGCACCTGAGATTGCATCTACAAAAACCCCATTTCCAAATAAGGTCACATTCACAGGTACCAGCGTGTAGAACGGGGACATATCGTGGGGAAAACCCACGTCAGTCCACTACAGAGGACAGTTGCTTCTCTTCAGGTGCTCAGAGCAAATTTAGAAAATCAAAAAAGTGATCCATGTGAACTAGTCTATTGTGTGTCTATTAATAACAATGTTAGAAATCCCTGCATTGAGGAGAGTGAGGGAATCCCAGTCTACTCTGTGTGTCTGATGTGTCAAATGTTAAAGGTAAGTGTTCCTGAGAACAAAATTTTCAAGTTGGAATAAGAATTATAGAACTATGGGGGCTGGGAAAAGACTTAGAAGGTAATCCCCTGCCAAGCTTCATTTTTCTCATGGTTTAATGAAACCTTGCTAACTGAGAAATTCTACTGATTATACCATAACCAGATCTGAGAATACAGGAAGCCAATAGATTTTCCTTTCAATTCTATCACATGCACCAGAAAATCAATACAGTGAAAGGACACAAAATCTTAAGTGGGTAATTATTGCTCTTGAAACACATAACTGTAGCATATCAGGAATGGAGAAAACTGAACAAGATTATATTATAACTTTTTACATGAAAATAAGGAACTGTCCTTAAAATTTCATTAGCAAAGACAAAAGTATTATTGTTTTAAATATTGATTTCAGAGAGTGAAAGGAAGAGGGAGAGACATCAGTATTGAGAGAATGGTCAACTGCTGCCTCCTGCATGGCCCCTACTGGGGATTGAGCCTGAAATCCAGGCATTTTCCCTGACCAGGAATCCAACTCTGATTCAGGGGTTGAGCTCAACAAGCCTGCAGGGGAAGGCAGTTACACTGGCCAGGTAACACTGGCCAGGCAGTAAGAGCATATTAGATTTACCAGTGCTT